CCCTCCCTCCCTCTTTCTTTCTTTCTTTCTTTCTTTCTTTCTTTCTTTCTTTCTTTCTTTCTTTCTTTCTTTCTTTCTCCTAGAAGAGGTCAATACATTTTAAGATTCAGGGCAAGTAGGCCTGCTTGGTCTGATGGGACATTCAGTCCATCCTAAAGAAAGGTTACTAAGAAGAAGGGGTGGGGAGTATGTGAATATAGGGAAGGGGCATATATCAAGCAAACTTAAATTTTCTAAAGGCCAAAGTTTGACTCCACAGACCAGTACAAATCCATAAGTTGCTATCAAAAAAACATTGTATGTGTGCTTGCCTCTTCTGTTTACAATGGCTGTCATAGACAACATGTTCTTAGATGTGACTAACAATATTCATAAATATCCATGAAACAGCTACTTAGCAGGATGATTATAATCTTAATTGCTACAATTATCTCGATGCACATTCCTTAAAAAGCCAGTCAAATAGCACAGCGCTCATAGTGCAGGTGGCAAAGCCATAAACCATTTACATTGGTGAGAAAGTGATAATGATCAAGATAATAAAGCTCTATGTCATAGCTAGAAACAAAAGCAGAAATAACGCAGAGGTATAGATATTACAGGTCACAGAAGGATGTAAATTACACAGTGAACTTTAAGATACCAAGGCAAGTTAGTCAATTTTGAAAACAGGATTTTATCTATCATTATTGGGAAAACAGAAACAGATGGGGTACAGCATGGACATTGATAATTGGATAGATGTCTTTAAAAAAAATTATAGAATTAAGATACTATAGTTATTTTAGGGAACCTCAGCACTATTGTCTTAATTCTATTATTTAGGGGTCCAACGGGCAAACAAATAGTTATGAGGATGAAAAGCCTAAACATAAAAGTTGGTGTAGATATTATTTCAGTTATCTGAAAATGAAAGCTCACCCTATCATAGGTGGTGTTAAAGAGGCAACGTGCACAAGCTGACAGCTTCAACTCTTGCCTTGGAGTGCAGTGAAAACTCTGAATCAGTGAGGGTCTGATCTATCACTCCTCCAGTGTCCCACAGAACCAAGTCAATGGCTGCTTGGCTCTGTTCACTGCTAGTCTAGGGAAATACACTGTAGTGGAAAATGTAATGCATGTAATTGGCTGGCCAGTGCAGCGTTCTCTTTTCATCAGCTGGCAGCAGTGAGAATAAGAATAAGAATAAGAGAGAGGCAGCTTTGTGTTGGGTGGGTGAGAAAGATGTGATTTAGCTCACCGCTAGTGTGTAGAGCAGAATCCGATAGCCTGGTGAAGGGAGATCAGGAACTTCAGGGACCTCTTGCTGGGGGCACCTCAAGACTGGACAATGCCACAGCCACCACAGGTCTAAACTGACCAGATCCAGACTAAGGGGAGCATGCCCATCTCATTGTAAAAGAAAGGAACAGACTCTGAATATTCATTGCTAATTGCCCAACCATATTAAATAGGAAACACTAAAAGGGATTAAATCTGCAAATAAGACACCATTACCTTCACAAGGGGCCTTAGGTGGTCTTATTTATTTTCAATAATATTTTTATTAGAGTTTTACATAGTTAAAAGCTACTACAGAATTAGAAAAGATATACAAACAAAAGAGAAGAAAAAAGAGAACAAGAGTAACAAAAAGAAAAAAAGAAAAAGACACATAAAAAGTGATTCCCTCCTCCCTCCAAACAAGAATAAGCATTTACAGTAACTTAGCGCCTCTAATATTACAGAAGAAAAAAAACTCTTCTTCCCATTTCTCATCACTAAACAATCACCAATTTATAGATTCATCAGTCTTACTCAGCAAAAGCATTAAGAATAATAATAATCTATATATTTTAAGCTTAGATAAATCTATTTTGCATTTTGACTTATAACTTTCTCTAACAAGTAAAACAGAAAAGATTTATCCCCATAGGTTAAAGAATATCAATAATAGTAAAATATTGTCAGGTTCAGCCTAAGAAACTCCATGAGACAGTTCTGGAACAGCTCAGTTACTTTATTAGCTCACAT